TTTCGCCATTGTTCATTATTTTTGAAAAACTAAGGTTTTAAACTTGAAAAACTTTGCGAGTTTTTGGCCGATTTTCTTGCATGATACACCCGTTGAAAAGCTCGAATTTCACGTTCTATTTTCGTATCCGTTGCTAGGCAACCCGTGCTCAAATATCATGCCCGCAAGTTAAGGAGTCATGTTAGGGCGCATTCGGGCGCATTGCCGCTTACCCCCTTGCCAATCTCAGGGCGCATTCGGGCGCATTGCCGCTTAATGAGTTAATATTCACACCTATTTATTATGTTCCTTGAAGCACTTGACAGTTTTGCAAAAGATCACAATGTTCTATATAAGGTAACTGTTGATCAACTGTGTGAAAGAAAGCAAGCGCTGATGATGTCATCACATGTTCCACCACATATCGAATCTAAAATTGAAAGAATCATACAATATATTGAGAAAAATTACGACGATTATATCGGTATTGGTGTCGTATACCCTGTCTAAAAATGAATCGTTTTATAAATAACTTTCTCGATAAATATGTAAATAACACGAATTATATACAACAAAAACGTTTACCCTCACAGAGTATTCGAAAATCAAAACAATGTATAGCCGAAACAATGTACCAAAGAAGGTGTCGAAAACGTACGGCGCACACACCGAAATGTTGGATTCATTTAGCAAAACAAGATAACCTATGTATTAAACCCTCGAATATTATAGACGGTGGAAAAGCGTTATTTAGTTGGAAAAAATCGATACCCCGTGGTGCTATAATTTCAAAATATACGGGTAGGCGTCGTTCCAAACAACAAATTATCACAAATATGGTGAAGGTGTTGCAAAATATGCCCTATGTAATGCAAAAGGTCGTTGCGTTGATGCCAGTCATACTACCGATGCAGCAGCAAAATTTGCTAATGACGCAAGAAATACACCCTTCAAAAATAACAGCATCATACGGGGAAATCAAATGTTCCGATTAAAAGCTTCAAAATGACTTTTACCCCATTGTGAAATTTTTACATCATGTGGTGATGAATATTGGTTATAAAGTAACATTGTACCCCCCAATAGGTTTATAGAGTGTAGACATGTCGAGTTATGCCGGTAACAAGTTTGCAAGGTATTAATCCCAATGGTAGACAGAATGGCGCAGGGTTATGCTGTTGCGACAGAAGAATAAATCCCGGTATTAATCCAAATGCAGGCAAAGTTGTAAGACGAAAAAGAAAACGTCAAACTGGTGGTAGTGCACATGGTCAAGGTCTCTCAAATAAAGATATTTTAATAAACGCTGCCGCAGGTGTGTTAAACAAGCAAAAGAGACGTATTCAAACTGGTGTCAAAGAACGGAAACAAAATGTTGCTAAACCCTGGGTTGATATGGGTAAAGAAAGTGGGGTGCAATTAACAAAAAAAGATCGGGAATTGGCTTTGCTACACGTGGAAAAAAACATCAAGCTAAAAACCATATTCCTGTAGTTTATCAATATCATCAATAAAAAATACATACCTTACAATACTTTGTGTATTATATCTCTTGCATTGTTTTTTTTCACCGATGCGTTATTTGTAACAACGTGTTTTTATTCCACCGATGCATTATTTAACGACGTGTTCTAAACAAATCTAACCAATTTACTTTTTACTTTATACTTTGTATTCTTTCGCTACTAATTCGTGGCCAAGGAAAACTCACTACTAAACCACAAAGTATATCGTCCACTTAATTTATACTAAAAAAATACTGTGACGTCATTCTTTAAATTTCACACGCTTATGTTTGAATAAATACATTTTGTAGATATTCATAATTAAAAAAGCAAGGATTTATTATTTTTTAATTAAAGGAATTTTTTTACTAAAAAATCATTTCACTTTAAATCTTGAGCTACGTCACGATAAGAATCAGAATCATCTCGTGAACTATTTTATACTTGTGTCTTGCTTTTATACTTGTCCTTGACCATATATGGTCAACACTATTTATTTAGATATTTACATTACTTGAAAATTGCCCCTTAATTAACTTAACTTTTAAATTTACAAATTCTTCGTGCACCACACAAATCCTTACATGGAAAATCAGGTTTGTTATAGTCTTCATACAAAGTCAACGCTTTCAAATAGGGGCGCATATATTTTGGTTCATTAGTTGTTTTTTTCCTACCAAAACCAAACAGTGTATTAGACGATTTTGTATCTTTACCAAATATCAAACCATGATATTCACCAAGCACATACATCTTCATATGTAATAATACTACAGGTTTTGCAGCAGGTTACAACACGTGCATATATACATTATCAGACACAAATTTTCTTCAAAGCACAGTTTTAGCCACCCGTTTATCAAATTGCAAAATACCAATAATTTTGTCCCATTTTTTTATTCGTTCACCAATTAGCGGGTAGGTTAAATATCTATAATAACATAATTCGCCCGCTTCAAGATACTTATCCAAAAGCGGTATTACGTTTTCCTCAGCTTTAAATGTTTCAAAATGATAGATAGGTCTTGGTTGAACCATCAACATATTTTTTATTTGACACTTTTTCTTATAAATCAGAATTCATCTTCAAAATAACACACACAATGTTACGTACTCCGCAGTTTTATAATGTAACCATTTGTTTTTTAACGACTGCTCGATCTGTTTACGGTACCTGTCTTTTAAACTAATGCACATAAACATTTTATGTAATATTCCAAGTATAAAACTCTGCTGGGTCCTTATATGGGCAAAGCCATATATTTCCCCATTTTCATAACGTAATATGAACGTGTTGCCCATCTTAAGATAACTATCAAATAAACGTTTTTATACTAAACAATTGGGCCATTGCATACGGCAACCAATATGTATTTACTCATGAACTCATCCACTATGTAACATACTTTTATACCTTCCACGTCGTCTGTTATACCGTAATAGGATTTATCTCGGCATCAAGCACATACTCAAAGATGGGAATACCCGCATCATTAAGTCGATCTTTCGAAACATCTACATGATTTGGGTAAGGGTGATGTGATACACTCTGATCTACCAACATTAAAAAATCAAACAAATATTTATAACATTCTTTACATACTAAAATATGTGCTAAATACTTTCTAACCTCTGAACCCTTCATTGCTTCATGCTCATCTTTACTGATAAAATAAGGTAAAACAGGTTCATACCGCCCCACAGCGTATAACATTTCAGCAGGATTTCTAAAATCATATTCTGCAATCACCGTCATTAAATTATGAATACCCACATGTATCGGTAGAGCTGCAAATACTTCAACCATAACATCACTACCATCACAACACGGACCACAACCGACATGAAAATACATGTCGTCAACCAAATACTGTGGTTCTAATTGCAACGACTGACAACGTACCATTTTCGTCGATGTACGTATCAAAACTTCACGACAGCAAAATGTGAAGGGTAACAAAACAAACAAATTTTCACAAGTCGCAATATAGGGTATCCATTCCACAGGAATATTGTACAACGTTTTCATATTAACTAAACTTTCTGCGGGTGTTAAAGATTGAATATCTGGAGCGTACAATGTAGCAATCGACGTACGAGGCTGTTTTGTTGTAACATTGTCAATTGCGATTATGTCGCGAATATCTGAAAAACTTCCCGATAACCAATGTTCTCTTGCCACATAGTAGTCCCGAATCCGAATTTCGCGATGTTTAAAAGATTTCGGCTTACAACCATGCAAATACGTGCAAACTGAATACAGCACCCACAAAATTGGGTTGTAGGGTTGTTTCATCAATAAATAAGACAACACTGAAATCTTATCTATACTACACATCTCACAACCGTGTCGTTCCACATACGTTTTAATTTTGTGCGAGTCAGCCATCTTTACAATTATTGTTTGTTGAATCGGTGTTTTAAGACGCTGTATCGTCATGCCGTACTTTTCAACTCTTCTACAAATTTTGTAAATACTTTCACCTCATGTTTCGAACAATGATATATATTCGCTATATGATATTGACAACATTCCTGTACATAACCATATTTGGTCAATAGCTCTGCATACTTAGGACATGCTAACACTTCAAGATTAATACATCGCACACCCATATTATTTAATAAATTACGTTCAATGTCACCACCCTTGTAGGCTACTAAATCGGCATTGCTCGTAAATTCCTTTGCCAAAAACGACATTGACTCTTCCAGTGTAAAAAAATCACTTGTTAGTTTCTCACGCACAATCGGTAATCCGTGTATATTACGGATTTGATAGCGAATAGTATAATTTGTCTTGTTTCTAAAACTTTCACCTTTGTTGTTCATAACTTATTACTTATTTTTATTTCTCAAGGATTTATACAAAAGGTTAATTTAATTTAATTTGCAACGTTTCGGACATTTTAAATGTCCGTCTTCAGGCGACAATTGTTGTTAATGTTATATTAAAAAATGCTGACGATTTAACTTAACTGTCAGTCACGTCATTTTGCGCGTGCGTCAATATGCACTTGCGCGCGCGTGTTCTTGTTTACACGTTCCTTCTTAAAATACTTATTTAACAATGGTCTCCACATCACCAATTGTTTGAAATTATTCAAAACCGTGTAGCCATTATATTGTTCTCTTAAAGACTCAATTCCTTCTCTCACTTTCCTTTGTTTTAATCCATTTTCAGTTGTTATCACTCGTGCCTTTTCCCAATCAATCCCACTCTCGCAATCAACGCTATGTCTCGCCAAACCTCCATCTTCCTTACCCATTCTTTCTTCTGCCGACTCTAGTTTTCCATTCTTTATGTCCTCTCCCGTCAACCGAACTTTACTCATATGCTCTTTCTTTCTAGTTCCAAATAAGTGCCAAGTCTCTCCCACATAAACCGCCTCATCACATTTACAAGGAACTTCATATACAACAGTCTTCCGTTTCTCTCCCAGTGGTTTCTGTGCCTTTGTTTTCATTTGTCTCACTTTATTCCCAGGTCTGAATGCGGTATGGAAACGATGCTTCTTAGCGACTCTCTTGAACTGCTCCGACATTCCTTGTAAATATGGTATAACCACCATTCCTCTACAACATTCCTCATCTTTAGAATCTGTCGACTCATTCGTATTCTCCTCTTTGCTTTTCATATACCGTTTCACTGTCTCTCTGTCATATCCATTAGCCACAAACACATCTTCAATGTTTTTCAGTTCCTCTTCTACATATCCAGGATCGCATAATGCTCGAGCACGATCTGCAAATCCTTTAATTATACCTTTCTTCATTGAGGAGGGATGGTTTGATCTTTCCTTCACATTTATATTTGTGTGTGTTTTCTTGTAGTGAACCATACATTCGATCTGTTTCGTTTTCCTGTTGATTTTCTGTTTCAGATCCAAAACCGGGATAACATCATTTTCTTGCTCTTCTTTGGTAAACTTGATTATCCCCTTTTCAATGCTGTTTAGATGGTCAAGCATCACATCCGACTGATCTTTTTCTAACTATATCTCACTATCATCAACGTACCAGAACCATTCATTCAATGGATATGGCGACGTTTCGATTGCCCGTAATTGAAATTCCTCCATGAATATCATCGCGATCTCACCCGTTGCTCCAAGCCCAATCAGTCCACTTTTCAAACCCAATCGGTCCACTTTCCGAAACGTTGCAAATTAAATTAAATTAACCTTTTGTATAAATCCTTGAGAAATAAAAATAAGTAAAAAGTATAATTTGTTTCATTAAATGGTAGAAAAGGTAAATAAACTTGAAACAATGCACATTCACCGGTTTGTACTCGATAAACAGAGACTTCACGAAGAAATACTTTCTTCGAATTTGAATATGCTTCACAATCTATCACATGTGTAATTCGAGGACGCTATTTCTTTTTTATTCTCATTGATTTTTCTCATCTCCTCCTCGGTTAATTGATTATGCTTTCGCTGAAATAACAACTCCATCCTTAAACAACAGCTAGCCACAAATAATTTTGGAATAAACTTTTTATTCATTTTTATAAACATAAACCTAATAATACATTCTCAATATATAATTGTAAGAAATGAAAACATACAATTTTACATTTACTCGAATGTTCTCGAGTTAACCACATGCTACATTTACACTGCTCGTCCAACCACGCCATATTTTTACACATTCTTTTTACCATTCTATAATGTGCGCTTATAAAATCAGGCGATGTTATTACAAAATAATCATTCATAATCTGTTTTCTAACAACCTCTACAGTCTGTTTATTTTGAGAAGCATGTAACATAATACACAAAATTGTTGTAATTAATTGCTCATAACTATAGTTAGTTTCAGGTTCATCGAACCCTAAAGAGAACGTGCAAGTCTGTTGTCCTAAACATTGTAACCCATTGTACTATGTCCATGATGTCCACGATGTCCTGCATAAATTAAACTACGTAATGTAAACATATATATATAACCATATGCTGTTCTTTTAAAATCTGTAAGATACATCCAAGACACAACATTGTGGTATACGTGATTATATGCACACATTGTCACTCTTTTAGAATTTAAGACATGTTTCATAGTACAATGTTTACGTTTTAAACATTTATGTATTTCCAACCCCTTATTATCAATCAGTGGTAAAAAACACCTCATCGCTGGCTATACGTTCAGCATCTACAAAATATATCTTATTAAATTTGTTAATTTCTTTCCTTGTCCACATGCTACAATAACAAATTTGATCTTCGTCTGGAACACAGTCACATTTCGATAACATCCAATCCCTAACACATTTCACCAACCGTTGATTATACAACAAAACTTGCATTAACCGAGTTGACAACCAAATACCTCGCTGATTGTTCAAATCCTGAATCAGCTTTTCCCTATTAGTTTCCAAATAGTTCTCTTCGATACTAGTTATAACTGCTTGCAGTGTTGTTCTAATAAAATTGATCACTCCAGCATGCGTAAGATTCTCTTGCTCTACATAATCAAGCTTAAAATCTGTTTGTTGAAATGTCACAAAAGGTAAAAAAATCAGCAAACTCTCATTAAAACACTCTGGATATATCCGATAGTGTATCTCAACTTCCGCGTAGATACCCAACAACCAATGCGCAATGCCGACAGTTACTGTTCGCTGTCCATCTCCATCCACTTCGATATCTATAAGCTAGACATAAAAACTTGGCATCTTTGTGAAATACTAAATAAACAGCCTCTGTAATTCTACAAATTTCGCCGATACCAATACACGTGTCCTTTTTAAAATTTCACTTACAATATACAAATCAGTTTTTTTCCCATTACCCCTACATTCCTCATTAAATATCCCCATAAAAGAACCATAACTTCCATATAACATGTCAATAGGGAATATTATATCATAACCTTTACCCTTGTGCCATTTTACTCCTGCTGTATACACATCACAGCGGTGGGGTTGTAATCTCCAAAACTTAAACAGATGTGACAAATGTGTTGTGTCTTCACCGTCATATGTTACAATAGCGTGAATATTGGAAAACATACACCCCTTGTAAAATAAATTCATCTTATTCGGACAGCAAGGTGGTACAAATAAATCATTGCAAACACCCTTTAACACGTCGTCAAATTTATAAGAATCTATAATATCATTTAAACTATACATACCTCCTCGTATTTGGCACACAAATAATACTGATTGTATATGTCAACAAAATCCTTTATAGATAGGTCAAATAAAGTCTGCTAAAATAAAATAGCACCAACACAAGCAAACCTAACACAACTTTCCAAACAAATTTAATTTCATGCAAAAATATATACCGTAGACAATTGAGAAATATTTGTATAACAACCTTCATTGTGTGACCTTGACTAATAATTTCTACATGACCATATATAGTTAAATGCGGTTTTATAAAAACCATATACCCTTATATGGGTAACTACTAGAAGAACAGACCATAACCATATAAGGTTGTATGTATTTATGTTGCTAAAAACACATATAAACATTAATACAAACATACGCGTCGCCATAATGATTTAACCATGTATGGTTATATCATTACTAGAAATGTATACGGTCTAATATAATTTTCCACATTTGCCGACTACACCTCAAGGGAGACATATCTACAAGAAAACCGTGTGGAATTATGAATATATATCAGAACAAAGATTTTTTCAAATTTCTTGATTTATGCGGGATAATAATCAATGACAGCACAAATATTTCTGCACTTTTTAACGGTTACAACGACTTCAACAAATACCGTTCCCTATACGTAGGAAATTCATTCGAACATAACTTCATCAAATGGCAAACCAGTAAACAAGGACCGTACGAAATAAAGGACATCAAAGAACCACCCAAAATTTTACAACCTGATTACATAACAACACCCGTAAAGCTGCAAAAACTAAAAGATACCACACCGGATATTGGCTCATTCATAAACTACACTTTTCACCACCACAACCTCCGCCACGTTGGGGATTCAACCTGATGAACCTGAACCCCCACAACTAAACACCCCACCTACCACCCCCCAACCACCACCCACCACCCACGGGTAAGAACATTGCTATGGTCAAACGAGCATTCGAGGAAGAACATGATCAACCCCCGCAACAAACCGCAACGGTATCAACAACGCGCAATAAGCGAAAACGTGTTGAACATGTACAACCACGGCAAGCTGGAAGACCCACCAGGGAAGAAACACTGATTAGAATAGGTGATGAGCAGAACAATATGGAAGCACTACAGCTAAGTAGTCGTGAACTAATCCTACCCGGTAGTGGTGATGAGAATAAAAAATCAAGAACGATTTTAACAAAATGTAAACAGAATATTGTTGTTGAAACCCACAAACAATACTTAACGTACGATCTGTTTGCAGATAATAGAAAAAAAGCCTTAGAAACAATCAGGGAACAACGAGATACGCTATCTAAAATTAGTACTAACTAGTTTACTCAAGAAACAATGATAGTTTAAAAAACAATGATACATTGTAAATAAATTATCGCATTTTTAATAAACACTTATTAACTTTGAAATATGTTGAAACTTTATACTTTAACATTTATGAAAGGTTGGAAAATATTAAAAAACGTTGAGAAAAACTAAAAAACCTTGGGAAACACACAAAAAAAAAACCCAAACAAGATTAAAATTACTTGCAGGAAACACCCTACCCATTTTACCCGCTGAAAACCCACACCTACGTTACTTCCGTACCGCCCCGTGATTAAATAGGCAGCAAATTCGAATTCAAATCAGTTCGGTCAACCGAGGCTTTGGGTTCGGAGCTCCCATACGCATGTGCAACGTGCGCGCATCTTTCTTGCGACTCTCTTACTACGCCCTGACACGCCCATCAAATTTTACCACCCCCCGTCCGTACTCTGTCTGAATACACACTCTGACATGATTTTACTTTCATTTTCCCATACTAGCTCCTATTAAAAATATAAGTTCACACCCCCCCCCCTCTTTTTTCTATATACCTTATTGCTATTACTACTATTATAGTATATTTCATCTGGACAACCTTTTTGGGAATGACAGTATATATTTTTTTTTTGTGTGTGTGTGTGTGTGTGTGTGTGTATGTATTATATATATATGCAGTATTAGGATTTGTCTATTATTAATGTAAAGCACATTTGATCATTCAGTCATGGAAAATGTGCAAAATAAGTTTTTAATTACAATTTAATATACCAGAACAGGGCCAAAAAAACAAAAATTACACTTTTAGAACTTCCAAATTTATTACAAATGTCGAGTATCATTGATAAAATTCAATGAAGGGCTTGAATTAAACATCAGAAACAATTTTGGATTATGCAAGTCTGTTTACAGATGCAATAAAATATTAATTATATGAGATATATGAGATGAGATTTAACATGGATGATGTGACTAGATTATGAGGAAAATGTATGATAAGAAAATGTATGATCATTTTTTGTTCTGATTGATGTCATTAGGTCTGAAATCTTTAGTGTTATTCTCATAGCACTTTAAGCAATTAACAGGGCATAAGGCAGGTCCTTATCTTCTCCAAATGATGATGTATGGAAGCTAGAATCTCCAAGTTTAGATGTTTTAGATAAGCCAGGGAGCTTAAAGGACACACCTTCAGGGTAATATACTCGAAATCGCACATCGTTTTTAGCAAGATCCGAAAATCTATCTGGTGCTGTAAGTAATGTGACTAACTTGAGTGATAAAAGCTTGAGACTTAACCCTTGATTGCCCCCAATGACTTATTATAGACTAAAACTTGTGATACACTTCAAGTATACAAATATTTTGGTTCTGGAGGTCTCAAATGAAAAATCCCTTTTAGTAATGGAGATACTAATGTACTCTGCTGAAGTCAATATCAGGTAAAACTGCTAACAAAGCCGAACGATAAACATTAATAGTTCTATATGCCTTTCCATCTTTATACTGATATTTGAGAAATTCTAATATAGTATCCAAAGATACTCAACTGTTTGAGATATTGCCGCAAACATTGACCGATTAAGACAAATGGTGGGCATCTGGCTTCCAGCTGACAAACTAAAGAAGTTGGTATGTCAGGTGACATGCAAATAGATGACTTCTAATGGGCCCCATGTTCTAACAATTGACGCTGTCGATGAAGTGAGATCTATTCAAAGATCACGCTTTGTACTGAACCCACAGCGTCTGAAAGCGAACAACGAGTTGGGATATATGTCGGCAATAACTGTCCAATTTAAACAAATGTTTCAAGAGCTATGTGAAAGTAAAGTTGGTTGGGATGATGAGATCTCACATCCAATAAGAGTAAAATGGGAGAAACTAGCAGAACTACTGAAGATAAAACGCATTCTCCTTCCCTGTTGTGCTATTTCTGTAATATAAGCGAGAGAATAATTTCTTCCACCACCCATGGTTTCTGTATGCGTCAAAGATGGCATATGGCACGGTGACTTATTTGGAAATATTATTACATAAGATTTTTAGCGTCTAAGACAAGAGTCGCCCCCATTGACAAACAAACTATTCCCCAACTGGAACTGTTATCCTGTCTCATCCTCGCAAGATTACTTCAAGATGTGGAGGAGGAGTTACAATTGCAAGATTCAGTTCGCTGGACTGATTCGAAAGTAACGTTGTTCTGGATCAAGAATGAAGATCGTGAGTGGAAACAGTTTGTCCAGAACTGACCAATGGAAATCCAAAATCTGATAAGCCCGAATTCTTGGCGACACTGTTCAGGCAGAGATAACCCAGCTGACATACCTTCAATAGGAATAAACCCTTCAGAGCTAGCAGACAGTATACTATGGCACAGTAGTCCAGAATGGCTAGGTCAAACTAACACTGAAGAACTTGAAGACAGTGACGAGCAATGCATACCACAAAAAGAGTGTGATAACAGAACCACCAAGTTTATCAACCTTTACACTGAGTAATTCCTCGCATGGCCTCAACGAAATTATAAGGTGCAAGCGATTTGGAACCCTGAAATGACTTCTTTGGCTGACAGCATATGTCTACGATTTGTGAAAGCAGTGAAACACAAGGATGGAATTAGAAGAATTGAACATAAGAATTGAAGGTGATAGTTTAAGTGCAAACAAAATTCAACACTGGAAGGTTCAGTTTGATCTTTATCTTGATGAAAAAATGTATGGAGATGTAAAGGGAAATTGGAAAAAGCAAACTTGCCATTAATGACGAAGCATCTTATCATATTGGACATGAATCATTTTCTCACAACCCTAATCATTTGGGAGTACCACATGAACGTGATGTGTAATGGTATAAAGGAGACCCTGACTGAATTGTCATGCCAGTATTGGCTCGTTTGAGTAAGACAGTTTCTTTGGACACAACTGAGCAAGTGTGCTACTTGGCACAGGTTTGAAGGAAAGCTTTACCAAGCTCCAACCACACCTGCATTGCCAGAATTCTGAGTAAACGAGGCACAACCCTTTAATGCGACAGCATAAATTTCTTGGTCCATTATATGTGAAGATGAGAGAGGAAAATCAGAAAGTCTGGATCTGTTTATATACATGTTGTGTAGTCAGAGCACTACATTTGGATGCATGCCAAATTTGATGTTAGAAGGATTCATGAAGGGTTTCAGATTTACTGCTCGAAGAGGAATACCATTAACTATTATAACAAACAACACTGGGACATTTAAACCCGCGGCAATATCACATGACCATAAACAGCCAATTAAATTATCAGAATTCAATAAGGTATTATATAAACTGAACTATACCGCCTTATACAACACTATACCACCTTATACAACACTATACCACCCTATATGACACTATACGACATTAAACAACACTACGATGGAATCCGGAGTTGTATATAACATAACCATATATATTATGGGATCCTTTCACACAATATGAAGCTATTTATAAAGATCCTCTACATACAGTACGGAAGATGGTTTTGTACAAATTGGTATAATGGAAGAATAAAAAGGTTGAACTCAAGACCACACATGCACGTTATTAACTCATTAACTGCAATGTGCCCGGATGCGCCCTGAGATTGGCAAGTGGGTAACTGGTAATGCGCCCGCATATGCCCTCAAATGACACTTCAACTTGCGGGCATGATATTTCAGCACATGTTTAGCGGGTTGCCAGCAACGGATACGAAAATAGAACGCGAAATTGGAGCTTTTCAATGGTGTATCATGCAAGAAAATCGGTCAGAAACTCGCAAAGTTTTTCAAGTTTAAAATTTTAGTTTTTCAAAAATAACGAACAATGGCCATACTGTTGCAAAGAAGGATTTTACAGCAAGTTTTAAAAGCGAAAAAAGAAGAGGTTTTTGAATGATCTACAACAGAAATTTGGCATGAAAGGAAAGCAAATGTATTGACGTTTTGGGCCATATTTCTACACAATAGTCCTTATGAAGGCTTATTTCAAACTCGATTGTTTTTCAGAGCCAGACTTCAAAAGAAACTGCCTGTCTGACATTTTATAGCAGCCTACATTAGCGCACAAAATAATTTTGGCTAAAAACCCGTTGCTTTCCCAATAGAAGCCTGAGAATATTGAGCTAAAAGTCTTACCTGATGTATGTTTAAAATGTTTTTCTCTTTATGATGCTTTTCAGTGCTTTGAGTACAGAAGTGAATAGCTTTTAGTTTTGTCACTGCAGGATGCCTTTCAAAATGTTGGCTGTCATTGTCTGGGTTAAAAGCAACTTAGAAAATTCCTATTTTCTCACCTTCCAATCCTTGGTTTATATTAAAATAAACTGAATTTAAGTACTATGTGTCCTTTTAAATATATTTCAAGTAAAGCCCAGCAAATAACTTTAAAACCAAATATAATAAAAGTAAAAATTGAATTAGGTAATGTTTCATTGTTTACAATACAACATTACATTTCTTCAAAGGGATTTACAATGCCAAGGACAAGGTCCATACATGTTCCAAGAAAATTGTCTACTTTTGCCTTACTTTCACTGGATCATGGTCTTCATATCCGTACACAACTTAGTAAACTTCTTGCTTCTGCTTATCCACATATTTCCATACGTGTTGTTTTCCGTCCTTCTTGTCACCTTTCTAGTTTCTTTCACATCACATGTTGTGTGTCAGATCGCGTGTCAATGCTGTAGCATATTTTTTGTTGGCCAAACATGCTGACACATTCACACACATATCTCATAGCATATGGGAGTCTTGCCTTTGACTGGAAAAGAACGCTCTATCTCAACCATGTCTAGTATTCTCGCTCACAAACACATGCACAAACACCCAGTCTCCGCTTCTGATTTCAAAATTCTATCATCAGGCACTTCTAATTGGGATCTTCCTATCCGTGAAAGCCTATTAATTTCTCAACTTAACTCTGTCCTTAATGCTAATATTAGATCTACCCCTCTTGAGTTATTTTAGTTATGTAATATTAACCTTAACTATACTAACCATGCACTTA